GGGGGGCGAGGGGGAAGCGGCAGGTCTAAGAGCCGTCTGGCTGAGGATCAGGTAATTATAACTTTTTTGAACTTGGTAAAAAACAAGCACTAGACTGGATGCTAGAGCAGTCCCTGCAGCCTCTTCTACCCTGGGCTTTGGCCGTCTAAGTCCCATTGACATCAAGTCTAATCCACCTGTATTAAACATGACATATTTAACTATGTACTAATCACACGCAGCACCGGTCCTTCCCGGGAGCTGCCCGATACGGCCGTGCACGCAGCACGGACGCTGTACACGCCGGCCTTTCTAGTAACTATGACATCGTGGGACATACAACATCTAGGAGCAGAGAGGTGAGCGGTCACTGCACCAGGACTCTTCTTTATATTAAAAAAAAAAGCATTTAATTCTTGCAGTGCAGGGGTAGCCCCACTTCAAGGGTTAAGAATGTTTTCTTTAAAATGTATTTCCACTTTTGCAGTAAAATTTGAGAAAACCCCATTATATGTTTATGTGTTCCCATTCACACATCACACCTAAAAATAATATTTCACATTATACTCCTCCTTATCTTTTAGATATTTCTGCTGAACAGACATCCGGGCAGACTGCAGGCTAATGTGAGCAATTTCCAAGCGGCAGGAAACTGTCTGTCCCCATAGATGGACCAGGGACAGACTGAGCTTCCTCTCACTAACATACAATGCTCCTAGATCTTTAACCCTTTGTTAGGACAGTGTTCAAATCTAGTGTACATGTAATGAGAACTACCAGCTCAGTACAGACAGGGTTCATTAGGTTAAAGATGGAAAATTCAGTTTAGATCAAAGCTTTTCTTTCCGAAAGTACAAGTCATATGCAAGCAGCAATTTTTATTTATGATATGTGAAAGAGAACATGGAACAAATATAAAATAGGAATGATCCAAATTTGAAGCAAAAAATGGAAATACACTTTAAAGCGGAACCCTGGGCAAAAATGTTAACTTTTGACGTACGGGGGTAGCCCCACTGCAAGGGTTAAGAAAATTTTTGCCCAGGGTTCCGCTTTCACCACTTCCGGGCCGCAATACATCTATAGACGGCGGCCCGCACAAGTGGTTACAACAAGAACACGGCTGCTGTTCTTGTTGTTTTTAACAGCAGACAATGGCTGTTACTGTACAAGCGATCCGGCATCTGTACAGCCGCCGGATCGTTTGTACAGTGCGGCGCCCTCCCCTTCCCCCCCGGTCGGCTTCCCCTGTCCTCGTGCGGCACCTGGGAGCCGCTGATCTCTACTCCGATCATTGGAACCGGAAGTGATGTGTACTACATGACTTGCGGTGTCACTCGTTACAGTCTCTGGCTCTTAGAGCCAGGAAGAGAAGCTGGGGAAGCAGATCTCTGCTTTCTCAGCCTCTATGGCAGTGGTTCTCAAACTTTTTAGGGCCGGGACCCCTTGGTAACATATGCCAAGTTGTGGTGACCCCCAAAGCTAAAATTTAGGGATGACGCGACTGCTGCAGCGACATCTGGAGGCGTGGCAGGAGAACTGACACTGCTGCGCTAGGAGAGAGCTGAGGAGGACTCTCACCTTGCACAGCGACCCACAGGTTGAGAACCACTGCTATAGGCAAAGACAGGACCGGGCTCTGCAGCTGGAACTAGAAGAATTGGATTTAAAGTGTGTGGCTATATAACGCATGAGGTACATACTCCGCAGAACTATCACTGATAGGGATGGGCTCGGGCGTGTTCGCAGCTCCACATGCCGAGCCCGCCAGGAAGCTGACAGCGCGCAGAGCCAATCACAGGCACTGAGACATTTCCCGATCTCTGCAGCTGCGGACCGGGAAAATGGAATGTATAGCTAAAATGTGTTTTACATATTTTTGTGCTTGAATACATACATATTGCACCCGCCCTCTGCTTCTGTCAATCACTAGAAGGGGACCTGATGGAGAACTTCAGGTCCCCCTCTGCTGATTGACAGCATCAGAGGGCGGGTGCAATAGCTAGTTTGCTATTGGCTTTTTCAAAGTGAAATAGCCAATAGGAATCTAGCTATGCATTCCTATGCTGGGGTTTTTTTTTTCTGACTTACGGCAGCCCCCGATTTTCAAAAAACAAACAGAGCAGAGAAAGGTCCCGACCTTTCAGGGAGAAAGTGTCTCTCTCCCGGCGGCCGAGAGCCACTAGGCGACCCCTGGCAAATCGTCATTCGACCCCAGAGGGGGTCCCGACCCACAGGTTGAGAACCACTGCTCTATGGGGTCCCTAGGTGACATTAGGGGTCTGAAGGACCCCTGATGTCTCCATAAAGAGGACCTGTAAACCCTATCTGCTATTATATAGGATGCTTGTTAGCCTCCTATGTAATAGCAATAGGGTTAGTGTAAATTTTTTTTTAAAAAGTGTAAAAATTATAGTAACATACACACGCAAACACGTGTCGTGCGCCTATTTGCGAAAACAGCAATTGCGCTACACATGTTACATGAATGTCGGAGTGAGAGCAATAATTCTAGCACCATTAATCACAGTTAGCACTAAACTCATGAGCGGTAAAATAGTTTAAAGTGTTCCCTATGGGAAATTTTGTGTATTGACGTTTTTTGCTGCTTCACAGGTGAACGCAATTTTAAGGCTTGACATGTTTGGTATCCATTCACCCGACGTGACCCCGTCTTTTATATTTTACCAAAAAATTGGGTATTATATTCTGTTTCCGTGCACTAGATTTTAATTTAGTTTATTTTTTCCTAAAAATACTGGTTTGATAAACATTTGCGCAAATCCCATGTGACATAAAAAATTGCACCTAGCATCTTTTTATTCTACAGGGCCTCTGCTTTCATCTGAAGCGGTTTACTAGCCAAAAAATGTATATTTTATCATGTGTGTGCAAAAAGTGAGAAAATGCCACGGACAGCAAGTGGTTAAAGTGTCTTACCATTTTAGGTGCTAATTTTTGTCTAGGTGCTATAAATAATTGAATTTATACTGATCCGAAACTGGGAGCCGACTGGCTGCTACTCCGGTCCCTGAACCCTGTGTCCTCCACTCCACTGCAGTGATGGTACGTCCCTTGGCGTCCTCACGTCCTATACACTGTGTGCGATGACACAAGAATCCTTAGACCGCTGCAGCATAGGGGGAAGAGAGGCTCCAGGGCAATGAGGATCAGGCGAGTATAGCCTCTCTCCCCTTCCACTGCAGCGGTCTAAGGATTCTTGCGTCATCACGTTCTATACACAGTGTATAGGAGGTGTGGACGCCGAGGGACGTACCATTGCTGCAGAAGAGAAGAGGACAGGCTTCAGAGACTGGAGCAGCAGGGAGCCGCCACCGTGGTTCGGGTGAGTAAGGCTTCTTTTATTTTAGCACCAGGACAAAAAATGAGCACTTAACCCTTGCAGTGCGGGGGCAGCCACATTGCAAGTGTTAAGAACATTTTTGTCTGGAGTTGTGGTTTAAGCCGACACAGAGCAAGAACATCCACATATACAATTTTGGAAAAACATTCTATAGGGAAGTGTCAGCAAAACACAACATAAGAAGCCCTTCAGTAGGTATGACACAGGTGAGTGGTGGGGGGTATACAGATCATATTGATCAGTCTTCACACCTCCCCTCCCCCCTTAACTTCCTTACCTCGCAGTCTTTCTGATCCAGCACCCCTCTGGCTCTTGTCAGCTCCTGATCCTTCACCTCCAGCCTCTGCTCCAGGACATGCACTTGTTTCTCCCATTCCACCTTCTTACTGTTCACCATATTGTCAATCTGCTGCATCAGTTCTTCCAGATCGTTCTCACAGGATAAGTCACTGGGACACCGAGGGATAAAGCAGAATTTAAAGTGGGACTCCACTCAAAACTTTTTGTTTTTACTAAAATAGGGAAGGGTCAGTGATTCCCTCAGGTGGTTACTGCTGGGGAGCTTTCATGTTCTGGTGACTACAGGGGACTTACTTCCCTTGTAGTCACCACACTATCCTAAGCTTAATACCTGCACTTCATCACTGTTCTGATCTTAGGCACCCGTTAGGCCAGCTCAGGTTCACTGTAAGCACAGCTCCGTGACACATTATGGGCAATTCACACTACTGATGACAGTAACATCCCAGTGTGGGCACGCTACTCTCATAGTAGTAACATCCCAGTGTGAGCACGCTACTCTCATAGTAGTAACATCCCAGTGTGGGCACGCTACTCTCATAGTGGTAACATCCCAGTGTGGGCACGCTACTCTCATAGTAGTAACATCCCAGTGTGGGCACGCAACTCTCATAGTAGTAACATCCCAGTGTGGGCACGCTACTCTCATAGTAGTAACATCCCAGTGTGGGCACGCTACTCTCATAGTAGTAACATCCCAGTGTGGGCACGCTACTCTCATAGTGGTAACATCCCAGCGTGGGTACGCTACTCTCATAGTGGTAACATCCCAGTGAGGGTACGCTACTCTCATAGTGGTAACATCCCAGTGAGGATACGCTACTCTCATAGTAGTAACATCCCAGTGTGAGCACGCTACTCTCATAGTGGTAACATCCCAGCGTGGGTACGCTACTCTCATAGTGGTAACATCCCAGCGTGGGTACGCTACTCTCATAGTGGTAACATCCCAGCGTGGGTACGCTACTCTCATAGTGGTAACATCCCAGCGTGGGTACGCTACTCTCATAGTGGTAACATCCCAGCGTGGGTACGCTACTCTCATAGTGGTAACATCCCAGCGTGGGTACGCTACTCTCATAGTGGTAACATCCCAGCGTGGGTACGCTACTCTCATAGTGGTAACATCCCAGCGTGGGTACGCTACTCTCATAGTGGTAACATCCCAGCGTGGGTACGCTACTCTCATAGTGGTAACATCCCAGCGTGGGTACGCTACTCTCATAGTGGTAACATCCCAGCGTGGGTACGCTACTCTCATAGTGGTAACATCCCAGCGTGGGTACGCTACTCTCATAGTGGTAACATCCCAGCGTGGGTACGCTACTCTCATAGTGGTAACATCCCAGCGTGGGTACGCTACTCTCATAGTGGTAACATCCCAGCGTGGGTACGCTACTCTCATAGTGGTAACATCCCAGCGTGGGTACGCTACTCTCATAGTGGTAACATCCCAGCGTGGGTACGCTACTCTCATAGTGGTAACATCCCAGCGTGGGTACGCTACTCTCATAGTGGTAACATCCCAGCGTGGGTACGCTACTCTCATAGTGGTAACATCCCAGCGTGGGTACGCTACTCTCATAGTGGTAACATCCCAGCGTGGGTACGCTACTCTCATAGTGGTAACATCCCAGCGTGGGTACGCTACTCTCATAGTGGTAACATCCCAGCGTGGGTACGCTACTCTCATAGTGGTAACATCCCAGCGTGGGTACGCTACTCTCATAGTGGTAACATCCCAGCGTGGGTACGCTACTCTCATAGTGGTAACATCCCAGCGTGGGTACGCTACTCTCATAGTGGTAACATCCCAGCGTGGGTACGCTACTCTCATAGTGGTAACATCCCAGCGTGGGTACGCTACTCTCATAGTGGTAACATCCCAGCGTGGGTACGCTACTCTCATAGTGGTAACATCCCAGCGTGGGTACGCTACTCTCATAGTGGTAACATCCCAGCGTGGGTACGCTACTCTCATAGTGGTAACATCCCAGCGTGGGTACGCTACTCTCATAGTGGTAACATCCCAGCGTGGGTACGCTACTCTCATAGTGGTAACATCCCAGCGTGGGTACGCTACTCTCATAGTGGTAACATCCCAGCGTGGGTACGCTACTCTCATAGTGGTAACATCCCAGCGTGGGTACGCTACTCTCATAGTGGTAACATCCCAGCGTGGGTACGCTACTCTCATAGTGGTAACATCCCAGCGTGGGTACGCTACTCTCATAGTGGTAACATCCCAGCGTGGGTACGCTACTCTCATAGTGGTAACATCCCAGCGTGGGTACGCTACTCTCATAGTGGTAACATCCCAGCGTGGGTACGCTACTCTCATAGTGGTAACATCCCAGCGTGGGTACGCTACTCTCATAGTGGTAACATCCCAGCGTGGGTACGCTACTCTCATAGTGGTAACATCCCAGCGTGGGTACGCTACTCTCATAGTGGTAACATCCCAGCGTGGGTACGCTACTCTCATAGTGGTAACATCCCAGCGTGGGTACGCTACTCTCATAGTGGTAACATCCCAGCGTGGGTACGCTACTCTCATAGTGGTAACATCCCAGCGTGGGTACGCTACTCTCATAGTGGTAACATCCCAGCGTGGGTACGCTACTCTCATAGTGGTAACATCCCAGCGTGGGTACGCTACTCTCATAGTGGTAACATCCCAGCGTGGGTACGCTACTCTCATAGTGGTAACATCCCAGCGTGGGTACGCTACTCTCATAGTGGTAACATCCCAGCGTGGGTACGCTACTCTCATAGTGGTAACATCCCAGCGTGGGTACGCTACTCTCATAGTGGTAACATCCCAGCGTGGGTACGCTACTCTCATAGTGGTAACATCCCAGCGTGGGTACGCTACTCTCATAGTGGTAACATCCCAGCGTGGGTACGCTACTCTCATAGTGGTAACATCCCAGCGTGGGTACGCTACTCTCATAGTGGTAACATCCCAGCGTGGGTACGCTACTCTCATAGTGGTAACATCCCAGCGTGGGTACGCTACTCTCATAGTGGTAACATCCCAGTGAGGATACGCTACTCTCATAGTAGTAACATCCCAGTTTAAGTACACTACTCATGGGAGTAACATTCCAGTGTGGGCACGCTTCTCTCATGGGAGTAACATCCCAGTTTGGATACATTACTCATGGTAGTAATGTTCAAGTTTGTGTACACTACTCATGTCCTGGCAGAGCGGGTACAGACTATGGATCTGCCTTATAGGATCCTGAGTTTGGAATCTTCCTCTAGTCAGGTGCTACATGGACCACGCACGCGCGCGCATACTCCGCATAGAAGACAGGAGATGGAACCTTACCTCATTGTACTTTGTACCTTCAACAAACTGCTGGACTGTCTCAGTTTTTATTCGGATCTCCGACCTGTAACACAAGGAGGGATCGGCATGAATCTCTTCTGACCCGACACTTTCAGACATTCTCACACAGGCATCATTTGGGTAAATATAAAAGTGTCATCCTTTCAAATCATACATAAAGTCTAACAGCAGCGCCACACAAACATCCCAGAGTCCAAAGTTTTGAATCATATCAATATATTAGGTCACAACAGAAAGACATGCAACGCGTTTTGGGTCCACAAAAAAAAAAAAGAAGTTCCTTTGCTGTATTTATTAACCCTGTCATGGCCTGCCCCTTTATTAAACCATTCCAAACAGGAAACTCAGATCCATCAGGTATTTGCTTATCTGGGGCCATTTCACTACAGCCAAAATGCCTGCGCCCAACTGATCCTTTAGAAATCCATACCGGCGCCTCATCGTGCAGACTTGTGTAGGGCTGCAACAACTAATCGATGATAATCAACGATTCTCATTATCGATTAGTTGAATTGCCCTTGCTGCTGCTATGCTCTCCCATTCTCCTCCTCGCTGGGAGCTGCAGCATTCGATTAGAGGGGACACAGACCGCTGCAGCCGGTGCCTAGCGGGGAGTAGAAACTGCTGTGCCTCTGCATTCCCCCGCTGTTACCCCCGTTCCCCCACTTCTGCTGGCGGTAGAAAGCCAGCGTCAAGTCTCCCATACAGCAGATGGGAGAAATAGCCAGCCTGCTATTGGATATTTTAAACTGCAATAGCCAATAGCAGGCTGCCTATTGCACCTGCCTGCCAGCAGTCAGTGGGCAGGTGCAATAGGCAGCCTGCTATTGGTTATTGCAATTTAAAATAGCCAATAGGATGCTGGCAATTGCTCCCACACACTGCCTGCTGTGTTTACATTCAGCTGCCTCAGCAGAAAGCAGTCATTCCCAAGTGAATAGGTGAAAATATAGTAAAAAATAAAACCCGCAGTGGTGATTAAATACCACCAAAAGAAGGCTCTATCTGCCCCCAAAAGTGTCATGCGACAGTTAAAAAAATAAAAATAAACCAGGACAGACGAATGATTCCAGGACAGTGGTAGAGCACCAGGGCCTGGTCCCAGCTGCGACCCTGATAGTTCTGCCACTGATTCCAAGCTATAGAGGACTACAAATCCCAGCAACACATTTTACAGCAATGCAGAATAATACCACCAGCTATAGAGGACTACAAATCCCAGTAACACATTTTACAGCAATGCAGAACAGTACCACCAGCTCTATAGAGGACTATAAATCCCAGCAATACATTGTACAGCAATGCAGAATAATCCCACCAGCTATAGAGGACTACAAATCCCAGCAATACATTATACAGCAATGCAGAATAATACCACCAGCTATAGAGGACTACAAATCCCAGCAATACATTATACAGCAATGCAGAATGGCAACTGTCTATAGAGGACTACAAATCCCAGCAATACATTATACAGCAATGCAGAATAATACCACCAGCTATAGAGGACTACAAATCCCAGCAATACATTATACAGCAATGCAGAATGGCAACCGTCTATAGAGGACTACAAACCCGTGCCAGTGGCTCATGGTGGACGTTCCAGGCAGAACAGGGGCAGTTCGTGGTGCACAGCGTCCTACCCAGCTCACCAATGTCACTGGTTGCCAGGAGCTGGGCAGGATGCCAGCCAGAGTGTATCACTCACGGTGACGTCTCTGAGCCGCGGGTGGGATGTCGCCCAGAGCGTCATAGGCCAGAGCTTAGAGGTCTTAGCAACCTGGGATGATGTACCGACGCACCCGCATTGCAGAACATGGCAGCGCAAGGTAACGCACTTCTGAGACATTGGCAACATCCATATCAACAAAAGTCCATTTGGTGCTGAATGAGTCGGGTGGAAAAATTATTGGCGCACAGCGACCTATCGGACGCGGTCACTGTTCAGCATGCAATGGAGATTCCTCCTTCCAAGATGTGGATTTTGCTCTCTCGTGGGCTGAACAGACAACATTCCTAACCTTCCCCTTGACAATGGTACCCTATGGGCAGTTTTGGCTGGACAGGGGCATCTAATGTCTTGGCTGGTCACACACATTACAACTTGATTGTACAATCTATGCAGGATCTCTCTGTACAAGTGGCAGCCAATCAGTAATCAGCAGCAACCTGGATACAAATCACTGGCAGCATCCAGACAGCAGAGCTACTGGCACACTTCTGTCCATCATGTACAACACGCCGGACTGTGCAGCTCCACAGCCCATTCACAGACATAGCCTCCCCCCTCATACCTGCGCAGCGCTCGCTCTCCAGCACCGCAGATCTCCACCGGGAATAACCGATCGGCCGGGCGCAGCACACTCATGACTCCGTTTACCGCCACTCATGCCGCTTAACCCGTAGCCCCGCCTACTCGATCGTTCACCCCGTCCGCGAGTTACACCCAGGCCACGCCCCTGCCAATCACAGGGCAGTTGAGACTCCATAGTAACGGCTTGCCTGGTTGTCATGGAAATATAGTTTTGAAGGCTGGCAAACCAGGTCAAACCAGCAGAAGGGGCTCTCCTCAGTATATGGTTCCCAGTCGTCCCCGTTTTCAAATTAAACCCAGGCCACGCCCCTGACAATCACAGGACAGTTGAGGTACCATAGTAACGGCTTGCCTGGTTGTCATGGAAATAGATGTTTTGAAGGCTGGCAAAACAAATCAAACCAGCAGGAGGGGCTCTCTTTCAGTCGTCCCCGTTTTGAGGAGTCTGCCCCGGGAAAACGGAGTTGCCCGGAGATATCACCGACCGCCAAGAGCTGTAGCCACGAAAAGCAAGAAGGGAAGCGGGTCCGAAAGAGGCCGCGGGCGCTGACAGGCAGGGCAGGCTGTATTACCAGGCAGGCTGTATTACCGCGGGGGAAGAAAAAAGGGCGGGAACCTGTGCCTGAGGGGGAGAGAGCGCTGTGGACGCGGCTATTTTGTGACGGTCTAGGCCCGCACCCTCAGTGTGCTCCTGGCAACCACTGACATCACTGATTCACTAGTTGCCAGGAGCTGAGCGGGACACTCTGGCCAGCATACCCAGTACCCTCCCTTATGTTCACCACCAGCAACACCAGTACTTGCGTTTACACGTGCATACCCCAGCGTGTGACATAGTCTTTCAATACAATCGTTTGGGCACAAAATGCAGCAGCTGGGGCTCTCGGGAGCTGTGTTTTATACTGTGCGCCCACATGCCTGTAAATACATCCATGTGCACAAGCCCTTTGGGTCCATTCACAATGCAGTATTGCACCAGAGGCACAGTATCTGTGTATCGCATAAAGCAATGCATCATGTGCTTGTCTGCGTTGCTATGCAGTAATAAAAAGTAATGCATGCATGCGGATGCAATGTGAATTTAAACTCTACACTCTGTGTTAAGGGCATTTGGACAGTTCTCTGTAGTCTGAGATATCGCCCCACAATTGTGAAATAATGCACGGCTTCCTAGCCAATCAGGAAACCAGGCGGCACGTCATGACCCAGCTCCCGGCTTCCTGATTGGCTAGGAAGCCAGCTTCACATGTTGCTGTGCGGTGTGGCTCCTTACCAATCAGAAAGCCTGGACGTGAGTCATGACGTGCCACCCGGCTTCCTGATTGATTAGGAAGCCGGGCTGCCTACCAACAAGTGAAGCCAGCTTCCTAGCCAATCAGAAAGCCTAGCGGCACATCATAACCCGTCTTCCTGATTGGCTAGGAAGCCAGCTTCACTTGTTCCTAGGCAGCCTGGCTTCTTGACCAATCAGGAAGCTGGGCGGCGGGTTCATTACAGGCCACCGGGTTCCTGATTAGTTAGGAAGCCAGGCTGCCTAGGAACAAGTGAAGGTGACTTCTTAGCCAATCATGAAGCCGGGAGGCAGGTCATAACCCACCTCCCGCCTTCCTGATTGGAGAGGAAACCAGACCCATGTTCCCTCTCTCTACTGCCAGTCAGAGGGAGATCTCCCTCTGATCAGAAGTTCTGGTATTGGAGGTAAGTATTGGAGCATTTGTACGAGTACTCGGTATCGGCACAGATACTAGTATCGGTGCATTCCTAGTGTTTACTCCTTTTGCTCGGACGGTCCAGTTGGGTTGGGTAAAGATGGCGGTGGTGGAGAAAGAGAGAGCACTGACATTGAGGCGCAGGAGGGGATCGTATGTAAGGTAAGTCACCTATAATATGCTGTGCAGGGCTGTCCCTATAATGAGGCTGTTGCCTCAGGCGGCATTTTTTTGGGTCATTTGGGGGAAGGGGGGGGGGGGGGG